CTCCAGGTCATTAAGAGGTTCCAGGTCCTTAAGAGGCTCCAGGTCCTTAAGAGGTTCCACAGGTCCTTAAGACATTGTACTTAGAGGATAAGTCACTGTACTCAAGGGCTTACGTCACCGTACTCAAATGGCTCAAATATCGTACTCATACACTGAAACCATTGTACTCAGGAGGTTGGCAACGTACTCATGTAATTAACTGGTGAATTTGTTCTTTATTTATGTACAGTAAAATCGGTAATTTTTTGGGGTCCTTTGTTTACATTAAGCTATGGCACAAAGATGGCGTCAAAATGGCACTGATACTTGACTGCTGTTTCTCTCTTTCATTGCCCTGGTCCCACAGCCCTGAAAGTTACTCGGTTAATCTTCCCCGTAACTGATAATAACAGAACAATAATAGTCTTGGTGATATATAGACGCCATTTTGATTATCGACAAGACATTATTCCTCGTTAAGTAGCTACGACATTTTAAGAAACCAAATCCACGTCGTTAAAACTCTCATCTCAGAAAACGTCCATAGAAAACGTTATTAATTAAAGGGAGAACTATTACATCCCTGTATTATCTAAACCAGGCGTCACCATAGAGTAGTAGTTCCTTCTCGGTAACCAGTTGTGTTATCCTCCCGTAACAGGCGCTGTCGGAGTCGTTTCCGTGGGTGAAGCCGCTACACGACGGCTGTCAGCGGAATCATGAGCAGTGGAAGCGTCTGGCGGAGCAGGTAGACATGGGCCTTACCTGGATCGACCACGAGTACATCGAGCGACCTGTTGAGAGGAATGAGTTGGAAGGTAAGGTGTTGTTACCTGTGAGTCTGGTATATGTAGAAGGTTACCTGTGAGTCTGGCACAGGTACACACGGAGAATAGGTGAGGTACGTACGTAATCACCATAACCTTTTTGCAATGTACTCTAATATTTCTGCAAATAGTCTATAATTACCTTTGGGAGTAATGACTGTCTTGCCAGCTGTAGGTTGGGCATCCAGCCGTAGATTTGCTTCAATATGCCATATGGTAACCGGGCCACCAGAGCTGTGTCCATCCCCTGGTATCTTCTGCACATTTTGGGTTGGTGCCCCGGGTTTCAGTGACTAGTTGGGTTCGGGAGGAATTCGTTCTGGTTTTACCCAACAGCTGCCATTAAGTAATCACGGATAACGCTAACACCAGGATTTGATCTTTGTGATGATAACCTGTTGTGATGATAACCTGGAATTGTTGTTTTTTGCAGTTATCAGCAAGATCACTCTCAACCCCAAGCTGCCGGCACCCCAGTCCTGCCCGGGTACCTCCCCATCACTTCCTAAAGTAAGTTCTAATACTTCCTAAGATAAGTCATACTCAATAGGTTTACTCTCACTTAAAGGGGCAAGTCATGTAGGGTTAGCCAATCCACGTTATTAAAGTAATGTGTGCTATTCATGTAAGTCATATCAGTAAAGTAAATCACTAAAGTAGACCAGGCTTGATAAAGTAGATCATTTTACTCTACTGAAGCAAGTAAGCCTAGCCCCCCCCCCCAATCCCCTCACTTAATGAACCTTGGAAATGTCTTGGCATGTTGAGGTTGTTGTGACCAGGTAACATTATAATGGAGACTGGCTGCCTACCTGTGCCCAGTTTTAATCAGAGTTTGTAATAAATTTAATAAGAACTATCCCCATTATGTCATACTTAAGTTCAGTAATTAACTTCAATATTACCACAAAAACACTGAGGTGTGTGTGTGTGTGTGTGTGTGTGTGTGTGTGTGTGTGTGTACGCTCAGGAACAGACGTGTAATCATCGTGTACGTATTACAGGCTGAGAGTGAGCGTATCAAGGGAAGGCTGGGTCTAGGTTCAGCTCTCCGGGGGGCGCGAGCACTGAAGGGCGGCGGCAAGAGGCGGTCTGTGGAGAAGCGCCTCGACCGTGTCATGGATTCCTCTACCGACCAGCGGCCGGCACGGATGTCACCCAAGGATGAGCTAGCCTCCTCTGCCACCGTGTCTCGTCAGGCGTCACAGGTAGGCCATAATGCTTCTAGTACAGGAGTCTTAAGTAGTCTCAGAGGCTTACAGTAAAGCAGTCTTATGTAGTCCTAGAGGCTTCAAGTACATTGTTTTCTGTGACAAAAGACAAAACATCTTTTCTCTTTGGTCCCCAGGATGAGAGCACTGGGAGGAGCAGACAACAAGGGAAGGCGTCTAACAAACTGCGGAGTAGACTGTGTGTCCTCCTGTGACCTGACCTACACACTCCTGCCGCAGCCACCTGACCTGATCACGCCCTCCAGCTGACCTGACCTTCTCACCACCACCTGAAGTTGATCTGGCACACCTCGAAGTGACTTGAATACCTAGCCACACCTTTGAATTGACCCGCTAAGTTGACCAATTCCTCGGAGCTGACTTGAGGACATGTCCACAACCCTCGAACAGAGCTGACCATACCCTGGGCTGACCTAATAATCTGGTCTTCCACATAAGCTAACCTAAGGACCTGATCAGACCCTGGACCTGCAGGAGCTAACCTGAAGACGTGGTCACATCCTGGAGTTCACCAGATAACCAGGGACACACATACACACAACCTGTCTACTCCCCCCTAACTCCTGCGGGCGGCCATCACACAGACCACCTCATAGTCCCTTCGTCAAGAGTCCGGAGCCACCAGGAGCTATGAGGACTCTGCCCCGGTGTTCTAACAAAGTGATAGTAGTGTTAGCGACTATATAATCCAATGTATATTTACGTCACGACACAAGAGAGCGCTAGAGGTAGTTACTACAAGTTGTCGATTCCTTACGTTAGTGTTTCCCAAGATCGTGTAAGAAAGGCCTCGAGCTGTGGTTTTTCATCATTTTTTTTTTTACATTCTTTACTTTATTTTTCTTTCGTTTGTGTTCCGCGTAGCAATAACATTTATATATCATCTCCTGTACTGGTCGTCCTCAGCTGAAGGAAGCCCTCAGGATAGATGGAAGTAAGGCAGAAGGAAATGGGAAGTCCTTTTGCTGTTTAATACATAGTCCGTCCCTCCACAGAATGGGTTACTGGCCGTTGGAAGGTGGACATCTCTCTCACCTGTGGACACTACGCAACACAACACGGAATGTGGAAAAAAAAAAAGACTATTAGTGTGTTTTAAATCTTCTATCAATAAGAAAAAATAAACAGTGGATAAATCTCTGTGCTAATAGTGGTGACATGAGAAGAACAACAACCACAACAGTATCTCAGTGCCAATGGGGCTGTAGCTACCTGACTATGAGAATGGGGATATAATGTCGCATGGTTTGGAGGTACTGTCCATGACTCTTACAGGTTTGGAGGTACTGTCCATGAATCTTACAGGTTTGGAGGTACTGTCCATGAATCTTACAGGTTTGGAGGTACTGTCCATGAATCTTACAGGTTTGGAGGTACTGTCCATGAATCTTACAGGTTTGGAGGTACTGTCCATGACTCTTACAGGTTTGGAGGTACTGTCCATGAATCTTACAGGTTTGGAGGTACTGTCCATGAATCTTACAGGTTTGGAGGTACTGTCCATGAATCTTACAGGTTTGGAGGTACTGTCCATGAATCTTACAGGTTTGGAGGTACTGTCCATGAATCTTACAGGTTTGGAGGTACTGTCCATGAATCTTACAGGTTTGGAGGTACTGTCCATGAATCTTACAGGTTTGGAGGTACTGTCCATGAATCTTACAGGTTTGGAGGTACAGCTCACGAACACTACAGATCGAAAGAACTTTACAGATTTGGATATACAAGAGAAGTGCAATTGACGTGGTTTGGGATTATGACCAAAAAAAAAATCCCTCAAGGTTAATTATTTTTGTGCAACGCTGAGAGAAAAATGGATGTTATACTAAAGAGACAATATGTTCACAAAGATTATTTTATGTCGACCAGTGTTGACGTCGGTGATTCATGTTTTGTGTTGTGAGTTTCTCCGACTGGTATAATGCCCGTTTAGTAAAGTCTTATAAGATGTAGAATAATAATATCTATATTGTTTGAGTGTAGTTGTATCTGAGAACAATGTCATCAGTGTGATCTATAGGGAACTTGTAGACGATAATGACCAGAATACAGTAGTGGTACTTCTTATTTTCTTTCTATGTCTGCGGAGAGTAGCCCTATATATTTCAGTATATTTAAGCATGTTTTTTCACACGTACATATACCCAAGCTTGGCCACTTTCTTTTCTATATTGATTTTGTTCATTTTAGTTCTAAAAAATTATTATCAGAAACTCTTGTTAATGTAATGGAAATGTGTTCAATCCTTAGTCAAATTTTTTTGTACTACGTGCTCGTCAGAACACTCGGCCTTGCATTCATTTCTTTGCTTATATTTGCTGGAACTAAACATCACTAGATCAGTTTACTAACATCACTATTTAAACCCCAAACATCCTTATCATACACAAAAACACAATTTTACCCCATGGAATATAATTTAACATTGTAATTTAGCACAAATTCAATTGCCGTGTACTTACTTGATGACACACACACACACACACACACACACAGGTGGTAAACACAAACCTCATCGTTGTCTCCGTGTAGTGTAGCAGTGATGATGGACCCACAAATTTGTCTTCCACACTACCACCCCTAATTTCCTTACTTGATTTACTTTGAACAGATTAATACTCTTGTGATAATGAAGAATAAGTTTAGCACATTCTATGGTTTACAGTACACACACATGTATGAACAATTACACCTAAGTTACACTCTTGTCAGCCATTACATTGTTTATAACACACCTACACAAACTGATGTATATAATTCGTCCATTTATGCATCACCAAAAGTACACCTAGACATGTGATAACATCTAAATCACTTACACTTATAGTTCATTAACTTGATACACTTACTACTGCGTTTATGTTAGACTCTCGCCAGCACTGTTACACCTCGACCAACAACTGTGTCAGGGTCTTCGGTCACACAGTAATAGTTATCTTACGCCACCGTCTAGTTTCTTCCAACACATTGATAAATATTCACAACATTTGTAATTTAACATCATATAGTTATGTGTATTTGAAGTGATGAGGATAAAAGGATTTTTTAGAAATGTGATCTTCTTAAGTAGTCGTTGTCTAATTACTTTCAATATTGTATAAGTGTACTTTTGAGGGATGTCAGTGTTTTTTGTAACTAATATGCTCTCAAAGCTTTTGCGTATTACTAGTAAGTATTGCTTTTTAGGGGTGTGTACTGCACACACACACACACACACACACACACACACACACACATACTCTTCAGTAACCACAATCAATACCGTTCTTGTAATCAACATACCTACGCAGCTCTTTATCATGTTCTTGTGTTCAGTACAATAACACATTTACAGGATCATTTATTATACTCTTACTGTGTTCAGCATACATTTCCTAGGACTCATCTACCTACCGTGTTGTTCATTCATCAGTAAATACATCTTCCCCTATGAACGTTCAGCTGTTCACACCAGAGTGTCTAGGTCAGCCTGATGTGTATATTACTTAACAGTGTCTCGTGTATATCTCCTCTTATTTCTCTAATAACTTCTCAGTTCCACAGTTTCTATACAGCAGTTCTATGTTATTCGGGGATTTTCCTGTAGTTGCATAATGAAAGGTAGTGAAGCAAAGAATCTGTAGAGGCACTTCTGTTGGACGTGCGCCCTCACGACGCACTCACAGGCGGCTGATGCACGGTTAGGTGATGTGTCTTGAGTGTAAACAAATGCACCAACTTGAATTATGTTTGCTTTCTTGTCATCTCACGAAAAATTTTTAACACCAACAGGTAAAGACACCAGAGGCTAAACTAGTTATGTTAAGCCACGCCCAAACGTCCATTGTAATCAAGGTGTGTCCAGGTACCTGAACGACAACACCACCAGAAGTCTGCAAACGAAAGTGGATGAAACATATCACTAAAGGTTCACACTCATGAGTATCGTAACACTTGTGACATCTACCAAGACTCTGCTCACAAGAACGGATATTGTAACCTTTTGGCGGTTTTCACATCTACCGAGGCTGTCTAGCTTCTGAGTATCGATCCTAGTTTTCAACTCTAGAACATAGCACCGAGGCAGCAGTTTGTGTGTACGGCTGTTAAAGTGTCTCCCGCCGAGTGTGTCGTGAGTGTATACAGCCAACCAAGTGCAGCGCCACAAGTGTGAAACTAAAAAGTTGTCGCTGGTAGTGTGTCTGTCTGTTGATCTTACAAGTGTCAAATAGGCCCTTCCCCTTTTTCTGTTTCTTTTTTAGAAGTTTCATCTCCAGCTAGAAGAATCAAAACTTAGCAAGTGCTTTCAGTTACAATCAAAGTTGCAACATCAACACGAGCGTGACTGTCCAGGTCTGACAGTTTGATGCTACAGCAACAGTCAACACAAGAAAGTACAATGGTTTCATGATCAAATTGACTGTAATGACTGTAATAGGGTTAGTGTTAAAAGCCCTCAGTGTGAGTTTTTCATAAGCGAGGCACTGTGACGCTGTTCTATTGGTCATCTTGTGGAGGAGGGCCAACCTGTAATGGACGTGCTGAACCGGAAGTAGAGGTGCCCGCCCGGAGGTCAAGAGGTACAATAGGAAGCTGATTTGCCCAACCTAAGGTAGAAGTGTCAAGCAAAGAAGTGGTGAATCGGAAGTATTGTTACGCAACCAGAAATGACTGTGTTACCTCAGAGTAGTGGATGGTGGTACGTCAGAAAAGTGGGTGGCACCTACTCTTAACGGGCGGCACCTCACACAAGTGGGCGGCACATTTTAAAATTGGGGTCGGCCCTCACCCTCCTCTCTCACATAGGCCTAACCTCATCTTAACATTCCATCAATTTACTAATAAACTTACAAAGATTCACGGCGCGTTTATTTATTCCTTTGTGTAGAATTTCATCTACCCCCCAAGTTCTGTTCCTCCACCACAGGTTCTGTTCAGCGGAGGTTGCACTGAGTCGTGTCTAAGTTGAACAAAATGTACGGGATTGGCTGGAGAAAATCCCTGTGTATTAAACCTTTCATCCTCGATAAGTTTCAAACAAAATTGGGCCACAGTATTTATTCAATTTTGCTTCAATGTGTCAAATTTGTGACGATTTTTTTCTTGAAAATTATTTACTTTTTGAAAATTACGATAAAAATAAGCTAATGAGTTTTGCTTTTATGCTGTTTAACCATTGACTAAAGACATGCGTAAAGGATATTTTAACTAGCTCTCTCGCATACACACGCCTGACCGGGGGGCGGGGGGGGGTGTAACATCCAGTAATTGGTCAACGCCTCACCTCACAGTGGGTCAATGCTTGAAACACGTATATTGTATACATTTAAAACAAGGACTAAAATATTCCTTACAATAAGTACGAACGAAAAAAGGGAAACAAATTCGTTAAGAAAAATAATACAAACCAATTTAAAGAAAATGGCGTCAAATAAACTTAAACATAAGCACACTAATACAAGTTAACGTAATCTATACAACAACAAAATATTATTCACAGGAAACCATCCATAGATAATTCAGAACTTTGAAATTTAAATTACGTTGAAACATTCGAAATTTATTGAAAAACTACAAAGTGAAAAACACCAGCTCCAGGGCAAGATAGTTACTGTTAATAACTAATATACAATAACTTAGCGGGACAAAAACATTTTAACGTCAACAAACAAAATAATTCATTGGTGGTAAAAATATTAAAAAAAATGTTGTCTTGCGTTCAAGAATAAAATGAAAGACTGGCTCTCGTACTAGGCGTCCATTGCTTTACACATGGCGGACTGGCGGTGGCAAGGAGGCATATGTTGAGTTTTCTAAGTTATACGTTTATTATTAGCTATTAAAAGCCATCTGTTGTAGAAAGTAAAACCAAAGGAATATTTCTTAATAACTTCCCCAGTTGAAGCACCTAAAATAGATACTAACAGAGATAGAAGACCAATCGTTTCGAGACACTTAGGATTAGGTCAGTAGCCCACAGTCGTTGCTCATGGACGAATGTGTCGGCAAGTCATGGTGGTCACAGAGGCCGTACAGCATTTGGATACCCTATGTGATGAAGGATTTTTCCAAAGAGGACCGTTTGGCCTTGGTGGAGCGTGCGGCCTTAAAACTACTTACTCGTTAAGACATGGACTCCCTTGATACCAGGAGGAGGAAGAGTGTTGAGGTCTCCACGTCGCTGCTCCGTCAAGTAAACAACACAGACCCCAAGTGAGTGTTCCAGGTTTTCCATTTATTATCATATAGTTTATTTGTTCTCGAGAAAAGTATTTTAGGATCACTAAGTGGTGAATCGAAGTTCATATTATATGATACGCTGTGGAAATATTGTTTAAGTGCTCGTTTACACGTTCAGTTACCACGTATGGTGGTCTCGCACGCCTCGGATCAGTGGCGAAGCATGGGGTCGGAGCAGGGTACTGACCACTGTTTAGTGGACGGTGTGTTTACACGGAACTGCCACACCATCGTTACCGGTCAGTGTGTGGCCGTCCGTCGCCTGTTGTGTGTTTTGGCCGCTGGGATGATACTGAAGGAAAAAAACGGACTGTTTGGGTGAAAAACTGGTTAGGAACAAATCGTGTGGTACTTATAACCAAATCTTTGCTGAAATGCAGCGTGAGGACACACAGGACGTGCAACGATACATTCATGACCCCTGAAATGTACAACGCACTCTTGGGTAAAGTACGTCCACATAATTCCAGGACGGATACAAATATGAGGGACTTTTTAAGTGGCAGGGACCCACGTAGGTGACCACACAACTGTTAGGCTCCCACACGTAACTGCCCGGGAAGGGTTGGTGGTTCAGTGTTGCCGTCTACACGATCACTGCCCGAGCACGGCTTCGTTACCATACTTCGAAAACGTGCTCCGAGACTGATCGTTTAAACGAGCCCTGAGAAATACATTAGTTTTAGATAAAGCTCTGGGTTAGGTAGGATCGAAATCCTTAGATCGAACAGTTCGTAATAACTATCGTAATACTTGATGAGCGTTGTACGGCCTTAACAGCTACCTGGCGAAATTTCTACATAAAAGATAAAAGGTTTTTCTTACTCGATAAACCTACTAATAATGCGGGAGGAAATGCCTTTTACGTGATCTCAACTTGACGGCCAAACACGACCTTGCCACCAGAATAAAATTGGAAATAAGTATAGTATTTCTAGTTTATATCTGTGCTGCTGGGTGTGATAAATGTCTTGCGTTATTACCAGTTAGCCTTTTAGTCTGTATTCACCACTCGCCAAGAACCAGTCAGCTAACCACGGAAATATCGCTAGACCACTAATTAAATATTGCTTTTGGTCTCGAAAAATGCAAGCTGTAAGCGGTGGTCCGTTTAAATTCGTTCCTTTTAGTTTCATTACTTATCAGACTTTTCCAAAAAAATTATGATCGTCTGGTACACACAGAACCCTAATGAAGGCGTTCCCTTTATTGAAACAGTTCGCCACACAATTTGTTTTTGGCATTTTAGCGGCAAATAAGAGCATCTAGGTCATATAGTCCTCGTACAGTCAGCCAAAGGTCCAGCTACCCCAACCTGAGTCTCGTACTGGCAATTTTACCTGACAATAAATGGTGAAGTAAGGTTGTATGTAAAGGTGATTGTGATTGGTGGATCTATTTTCAGCTGCATTACTGTCAGATTAAATATTAAACAATCCAAAGGTAGATTTTTTTAATAATAAACAATTCATTGTTATTTAAGATCATGAGAAGTTTCCAAATGTTCTTATATTTGCTTAAATAATAAAGAAAATTTGAGTGAGAATCTTGTGGCAGTCCTCGTTGTAGTTAAGTTGCCAATTCAGTAATATAATTTCTACGCTATTTAACCAAATATACGAACTTTTGGAAACTTCACGTGCAGCAATTACAGAAAGGTATCAACTCGTTAATAGAAACCGACCTTATCAGTGTAAACAACGTTTCTTAAAATTCTTATATACATTTATAATTATTCCTGTACTAACATCCTTATATCACAAATGGCATTGGCACAAAAAGTCGCCACTACTGGGAGAAGACAGGTGAACCTTCGCCAGGCGTAACTCCCATAAGAGTATCAATACAGTCTTACACATGATGGTCATCTCTCCCCACCTTCTCACATGACACTGAGTCCATCTTGTCTTGGTTTTCATATTTGTAATAGTTCTAATCCGTGTGAGCCAAGTGGTCAGGCTCACTACCCGCTGCTACACACATTACCTGCCTGACACCATCACCTCACGTGGGATCCTCAAGTTTTATACCTTAATTGGAATCACCAGAAAATTAGTCCCTCCAGCGTCTCTCGCCTAATGATAAACTACCAGAACGCAACCTGGAGGTGATAAGCTAAAGTTTAATACATTAATTGGCCTCTTGAATTATTAATATGTTATCGACTGGCTCTATTAAGGTACGGCATTAATTTGACTGTCTATCTATCGTCGAATTAACACCGAAGATATGTTTATCACAGCTGGGTGTTCTTGTGGCCCCAGTTAGGAGAAAGGTTTAGCGGATACTTATGAGAGAGGACCTCAACCCGAAGCCAGACAAGAAGCCACACTCATTCTCGCAAACCTCAGGCAAATTCTTCCTCATCTTGCCGTGATTTTAATCCCTTTTAAGAATTTGTGAATTTTATAAAGACAATTCTCCAAAATACTCATATACACCGAGAAACAAATTGTAAACGAATTCTTGTCACGAAAATGTCAAGGATTTCACGAATTGCAAAAGTTACTGATTTAAATACTGTCAAATACAACTGAACCACGAACTTCAAATATATTGTTCATTTTCGTGTGTGTGTGTGTGTGTGTGTTCGTCCCTTGTGCATTTCCATAGCTGAGAATTTGGGAGTTAGTCTTGAGGCTGATCGTGCACTGTCGCTCGTCCCTCCACGCGTTTGTGAAACATGAGGGAAGAAGATTCACTCTCCTCTTTCCATCCTCCTCCTGCTTCCTCCTTCATTGTTTCCTTCCTTTTTTCCTCCTCCTCCTCCTTCCTTCTTCCTCCTCCCTCCTTCCTCCCTCCTCACAGTGTTTACCTCACCATCTCCACCCCTCACTCCCAAGAAGGAAGACATGACTGGCGTAACGTAATACCTCTTGGCTAGGTGACGTTTCCTACTTACTGTGGTGAGGAGGACACGGTGCACGACGGAGTAAGGAAATGGTGAAATGGAAGCAGGGAAATGGGGGATGGGTCCACGAAGAGTACATGGATAAGATGATGAAAGGAATTATTTACAAGGATGTTAGTTTATAGTGACGCCATGTTAGTTTATAGTGACGCCATGTTAGTTTATAGTGACGCCATGTTAGTTTATAGTGACGCCATGTTAGTTTATAGTGACGCCATGTTTGTTTATAGTGACGCCATGTTTGTTTATAGTGACGCCATGTTGGTTTATAGTGACATATGTTAGTTTATAGTGACGCCATGATGGCGTTTATAGTATTGACACCATGTTAGTTTATAGTGACGCCATGTTTTGTTTTATAGTGACGCCATGTTTGTTTTATAGTGACGCCATGTTAGTTTATAGTGACGCCATGTTAGTTTATAATGACGCCATGTTTGTTTATAGTGACGCCATGTTAGTTTATAGTGACGCCATGTTAGTTTATAGTGACGCCATGTTTGTTTATAGTGACGCCATGTTAGTTTATAGTGACGCCATGTTTGATATTGATTGTGAAGATTATTGTTGTATAAATAAGAGGTTGTTATTTGTATTTTATTAGCATAGGTGATGTTGTGGTCTAGATAAAGAAGATTGTAGTGTAGGTAATTTTGTTGTTGTAGCAGTACGTAGCCAAGCAAAATAACACACACACACACACACACAC